TTATTAATATTTCTTTTTTCCATTGTTCTTAAAATCTTTATTGCTTCAGCCAACTTTAACAAACTTCCATCATACGCAGACACGGAATTAGTTCAAGTGCTTGACCTGATAATTTTGTGCTGGTCGAACGTGTGTGTTTTCGCTTACGACCTTGTCTCGTATTATGTTTTTGTCTTTCCTCTCCTTTTCTTTTTTTTTTTTTGTTTCATTTTATTATCTCTAAACTCTATTTCTTCAACCAAATATAACAATTTCTATTTCCGTGGATTTCGGTCAGGTACTTTGACCTGGATATCTTTTGACACCTGTCTTGTCTTAGTTTTACTTATGACCGGGTTTTGTATTATCTATTCCTCTTTCTCATTCTTTTTATTATTTCCAAACTCTATTCTTTCAAATAACAATTTCTATTTTTCGTGAATTTCGGTCAGGCACTTTGGCCTAGATATCTTTTGACACCTGTGTTGTTTTAGTTTTCTTATGACCGGGTTTTGTACTATCTATTTCTCCTTCTCTTTTTCTTTCTTTCTTCCTTTTTTTCCTTCCTTCTTCTTCCCTTCGGATCGCCTAAATACAGTTAGAGAATTATTCTCAAAACTCAATTATTCTTCGTCTCTAAATAACTAACAACTGGTTAATAAACCGAATAAAAATTAAATCATATTTCTATGATTATCTCTATTTTGTTTTCTAATAATGCAGGGTGCCATATATATATATATATATATATATATATATATATATATATATATATATATATATATATAATACTATATATATAATAAATATAAAAAAACAAAATCAACTATGGAATCTCTACAAATATCCTTAAATGACTATAATTGTTAACAAAAGCCATTGGTTTATACCAACGGCATCCCATACTTAATACTTCTCGAATTCACTCTCGTGTGTTCATGTGTGACGTCATGAGCTGCGCTGCGATTTTCGCTTCTAACGTCTTATATGCACGGTTTTATCGTTGCTTGGAAATCATCCATGTAAACAGAAACAGACTATCATCACATACTTGTCCGTGTATTGCTTAATATATTGTACAGTAATTGACATCTTTGATATTGGCTTATGTAAGCCGAAAGCTTAGACTGGATTAAAAAAATAGGTATCAATGTAGTGATTTTCTTTCTTCGTTTAATGATAATGTTATTAAGCTTATCAGACGTTATGAAAATAATTAACATAAAATGTTGCCCAAATACACAATATATAATAGTATATATATATATATATATATATATATATATATATATATATATATATTATATAATATATATATAATATATATAATAGTATATATATATATAGAGATTCATAGTAGGAATAATTAACTACAAACATGCATACAACATAACACCCTTCATAATCCATAGCCCAAGTTAGTAGTTTAAATACCTTACATAAAAGATAACCCTTTATGAAGTCGTCAAAAAACAAACGTTAGGAAAGTTTTTCTTTTTTTATATGCACAATCCCCTTTCATAAATAAATAAAATAAATAAATAAATCTCCATAGACAAGCAAAGTAGACGATGGCTAATACATCTTCCGTTTCATTTTTGACACCCCCAACCTTCCCCGACTTGACACCTTGAAAGTATCTCTATACCGCTACTTATTATTAACACCCTACATTCGCCTACCCAATTTAGACAATTCGCCCTAGCTGTTACCATGGGGATTTTAATTTCAATTTTTAAAACAAGTAAATTTCAGATATTCGTTATTCCAACAAAAATTTCGCTTGAAGATGGAACGGAGCCCATTTTAATTTCAACTCAATTTAATTTAAAGGATTATATTGAAGTTTTCGGCTCTTGTTTTGAAACATGAGACCTCTTATGTAGCGATTTGGAATCATATTTTTAAATAAATAATTATATATATATATATATATATATATATATATATATATATATAGTGAACATATGTATATATAAGTGTATATATATATATATATATATATATATATATATATATATATATATATATATATATATATAATATTGAATATATACAGTGAATTTTTAAACAGTATGCCCTGCCGCTCGGCATTCGCACCGTAACCTCCGTACAAACATTTCACTGTGTTTGGGGGACAATCTGAGGACACCGTAGAAGATAGAATAAGTCTCCTTGTGATTGCGAAGGTTTTTGGATTGATCACTAGTAATGGCGACGTTAGGCTTCCATTCATTTTTCCTTTTGTGTCTCAGACTTAATCTGGGGGCCTACATTATGTCCCTTGAGGAGGTAGTACTCTCTTGGATCAAGAGGACGTTTGCTGGCAACAGGACTCACGCCGCACAAGCAAGAGAACCCAGTCATGGCTGTCTGACATTTCCCCCCAGATGAGTTGCAGGAGATTCCGAAGTCATCTAATGTCTGTGGTTGAAGCTAGTTGCGATTTTATTGAATATATTTCCTCTTTAGTATTTCAAGATATTTTTGTGTAGGGTTTGGTAAATATATCTGTTAAAATATATTGTCAGTGTTATTTTCAGTTTTGCGTAATTTAGACAATTTATACATCGCATATATATATATCACTGGATCTAACTAACGCCTTTATCCACTGTGTCATGTGTCCTTGAGGACATCTGGCTATGAATTTCTGGCGATTATAAACCGAAACGTTGTAATGAATATGGCGACAAAGATGAAGACAATAGTCCGAATAATGTAAATATGTACATAATACCTCATCTCAGAAATATAGACAGACTCTGATGTGAAAGAAAGCATGCATTTAAGTAAGAAATGGCTAAAATAATAAAAGAATGTTCATGAGAGTCTTTTGTAATGTTTGTGCTTGTACGCTTTTGCTCTGTAAGAAAAGATTATGTGAATATATACAAGGTATGTTCAGCATTATAGTAGTGTGTGTGTGTGAGGAGGTTGGCGCATCGTTTCAACTGTCATGGATTCGTTTGGCAACTGAATTCTCACTAATTAGCTAAGAAAAACTCTTGCTTAAATAAGTGACTATAGGCTCCAGAGCACTGCGCAGGGAGAATTATTCTTCACAGGCAGACGATCTGATTGGTTGGCATCGACCAATGAGCGAGCGAGCTTTGGGGAGACTAAGGAAAGCTTCTGTGATACGTTTCTCGTAAAAGTGCACAAAACCGACTACTTAAAAATAGAGCGATTACAAAATTGTCGTATTGCTGCGATTTGTAAATTTTCTATAATAACATAGTGGTGATTAATTAACCAATGAATGCTTGGCGTTGTATGTGATTTGTATTTGTCTGTATGTATGTGTGTGCGTAATAGACTCGCACAAACTTACATTGTTCTTTGCGAACCTCAACAGAAGAGAACTTGGTATAATTAGTCATCCAATGTCCCTCATTAGCACATAATATACAATGTATACTATTGAAGCTTGTGGTGAAATTCTGTAGAGCTGCCACAGAACCTTCTGTTGCGGGCTGGTGTATGCGTTGAGAGACACGTGTGTCTCCTGAAATGCCCACAACAAACTCGAGATGTGAGTCCACATTTATATATATATAAAGTACCGACACGATCTGCGACTTCTCGAACGGTTCCACAAGTGCACTCTCCGCAGAATCCTGAACATCCACTGTAGTGATTTCGTCACCAATATTGAAATCCTTGAAAAGGCGAAGACCACTATCATTGAGGTCATGCTGCTGAAGTCCCAGTTCCGCTGGGCTTTACACGCTTCCGGGATGGAGAATCATACCCTCTTTAAAATGTTGTTGTAGGAGAGCTCTCCATTGGAGATCGAGGCAGAGGGGTATCACAGAAGCGATTCGAAGATTGCCTGAAAAAGTCCTTTATTGCCTGTCACATCAGCCATTGCCAATGGACAATCTTAGCTGAGGGCTGTGATGCCTGGAGCCTCACCACCAACCGTGCTGTCTCCATCTTTGAAAATACCTGGAGAGCCGCTCTCAGGAGCAAGAGGCAGTTGAGGATATACAACGCTATGCCATCGAGCCCTGGTTAGACTCTCAGCTGTAACTGTATGCCTGTCCCGTTGAATTAGCATTCACAAACTTGCCTGCATGCGACGTGTAATGACTCCCGCTTGATCTTCGTTTTGCGAAGCTAATAGTTCGTGGAAGATAACAGGGCAGTCTGTTCTACAATGTTCTTATTTTTGTTTACACTAAAAATCATCATATACCAGGCCAAAACCTTACGGCCTTCCTCACATTGAAACACCATATCTCTTACGGCCACCGGAGTTTGAGAAACGTTCAGAATGAGTAGTACCTAGATTGGTATCCGCTTGGGAATACCATGTGCTGTAAGCTTGAATGTGCGGATGGTGTAATGGATAATGTCTGGAAATTGTTAATCGGTGAGCCGAGTTCCAATTCCTATTGTTTCCATTATATTCACTTACGCACAGATAGCCTTAGGGAAAGGTATAAATCCACTCTTTCTCCATCCAGGTATGGATCAATTATTAAGACTTGTATCATTAATCCATTATCCTACCTAAAAATTTCTTATCTAAAAATATTTTCTTGTTTCAAATAACCTAGAAAAGTTTAAGCCGTAAGAAACGAATCAATCGATCAAATACTTGATGTCAAATAAGATGGCCCGATCGCGGATTCGGCCTCGTTCGATATGCTTAATTCCAGCGGGTTTGCCTCGTCTGAGCCAAAGGTGGGTTTGTTGTTTCGTGTACATGCGAGATTGACAAGAAGACGCACGTTGATTGCGGCGGCAGTAACTGGCATCGAGACGCCCAATGTACGTTTTTTACGGCCTCCGATAGCGAAATGACGTTGCCGCTCTTGTCGTCTTGCAATCAATGAATACTTGCGGTCGAAAAGGAACAGGCCCCGCGGTCTGCAAGCTGAAGACAAAAAAATGTTACTATATCCTGCAACGTCCAGGTTTCCTCCGCGTGAGAAAGGCAAAAAAGACGCTGAGAACGGCGAGATGCCTTTCGATTATCGAATGAGAAGACATGCCATTTTCCGGCTCTCGACCGGAGGAGACCCGAGACAAGGGATCTCGAGGCCACAATGTGCGTTCCAGGTGTCGGGTGTTCATTGAATGCTGCAATTCGCATCAGTTCTCGCGGATGGCCGTTCTCTTCATCGACTGACAAACTGAGTGTTCCTCTGTTCAGGGTTTTGTTTTGTTTTTTGCAAGCGGTTTAAAAATTACTTTATACTAATGGAATACGATAGATAATTAAGATGATTCGTCCCTTTGTGTGTGGGGGGGGAGTTGTTGGCCCGATCTGCGTATGTCAAGATTGGTGGAACCGCTGACTGTAGTTCGTCAGGGCATATGACATGTAAAGGCTTGTAAAGATTTGTTTGTGGGTAAAGTGAATGTAGGGTGAAAACGTATTCACTACCTAAAATACTACCTGGACGCTTTTGAACACAGTCAGTGAGGACCGGGCCGATTCAACACGGATATGAAGGCAATACTCCGTTTTTTTCTTCTGATCTGGCTTTTATAAAAACAATATAGCAGTGAAATACGTGCTGGGAACCGTCTATTTTTCTCCCATCCTTACAAATATATCCTATGTGTGTATTTTTTTATTTGACGTCTGGAGTAAGGTTTAGTTCCAGCTGCCAGTTCATAAACAAATTATTATTTTCATCCGAGACCTAAGATCAGAAATGGCACTGATATTTTCCACTAATTTTTTGTTTTAATATAATAATTAAATAAAACCTAAATTCAGACATTTCACATAGATTTTCGTAGAATATAAGCTGTACTTGTGAGAACATCTTTTTGTATTTCTTTCATGGGCTACCTGGGACACCTTCAACGTGTTTATTGGAAACTTTTCAAATCAGAGCTCCAACCTCAACTGGAATTGTTGGTAACATTACGTGCCACATTGTTTAGATTTCCATTTCAAGTTCCTTGTTTTTAGATATATATTTTTAATATCTTCTAATATACTATAACTACCACCACACCAGTACCACTTCCTCATTCTTCATCTTCAGCACCACCAGTTTTCTTTTGAACTGATGTAAAGGAATTTTTTCCTTAGATTATTGAGCATGTTATTTTAAGAGTTGGGGTTAGAATAAACGTGGGGTACTCCATGAGAAAACTCTATCTCAGATAGCGATATATTTCCTGTGATTTTTTCTTAATAGGTGTGTTCGTATTATTGCAAATTGACTTTAATTTAAATGCCACGTTCTTACACATTTTATATCCAGGATCTGTATTTGGAAATTTTGAATGTTTTTGCTTGCTTATTTTTATAAGTGAGAAGAGTGGGGGCTAAAATTGGACATTAAGATACTGATCTTCAATACTCAATATACCAATCAAGATCGCCGGTTTAATGCTGGTCTATGACGCACATGGTTTTTGGAAAAGGCAGATTATAACATTGCATTTGGAATACTGTTAGCAATAACGAAGTAAATACGACAGACTCCGATTTAAAGGTAAAATCTACCATTTCTTTACAAGGAAACTTTTTTTTGCATTCATTGCCTTGCCATCCAATAAGTTTTCGGTTGAAAATTATTAAAATCTTTCTCTCAAAAATATTTTCTGGAAAATAGCTTTTTAAATTCCGGTAAATATTATCCCTTTTTTCCAATAATGGCGGGAGGTTTCTTTCCTTATATTTTTATTTGATGTAGTATGGAACGTTAGCATTTTGTTTGTCATTGTTTCTCTTGCAATTTAATTGTTGCTTCAGATGATTCGTCCTCAAGTGATAATTTATCCTGTTACTTAATGCAGTTCTTTGTCATTCTGTTGCGCCATTCTACAATTTATAAAAGGGAAACTCTCAGGTTTCAATCGATCAAAATCTTTTTGTAAGTATCGGTCTTATAAATCGTTTATATACAGCTAACAGTTTAGATATTTCTTAACAGGTTACACAGCATGCAGTGCACCCTTATGAAAATCTCGATTTGACTAAGCTATTTAGGAACACGTCTCGAGTTTTCAGGTTAATGTTTTGGTCTCGTATCCGTTGGAGGTGATAGGTGAAACTATCACTGGCGTCGCCTATTCTGCGTTCAATTTTCTTTTCTGTTATACTCTATTATAACTGACCTATACGCCGATGTATTTGAAGTGTTTTTCTTTGCTAATTCCACATTCTAAATTTTATGATGGATTCAGTTTATGTGCAATCACTGCTTTCATTCAAATTCCAGATCAGAGTTTATCTTGAGACTAATTTCTTTGAACATTTGGTAGGTCATTCTTAGCCGAATTATGAATACCTATGTCATCAGCATGACCCCTCATTATCAGTAGATTAGTCTCAGGAGGGAAAACGGGATAATTGTCTTCTATTGTTAGATTCGTTTGGGATGTGTTTTCAAATGCTTAAATATTCAGTGCCCATCTCATAACATCTGTGTTTGTAGATACAGAGCATAGTGCATGAAATGATTAAAGACTCTGGCGCTCTCATTTCTTGCTTATTGTAATGCTCATGAATTTTGAAATGTTTCCGTATTGGAGTCATCGCCTGATATGCAGATTGAAATTCATCCTCAATTACACAGATTCATTCATGTGATTCAGAGCTTGAAAGGTGGTTTCTATTGCATGAGAAGAGGAAGTCTCTATGGATGTGTTCATATGTTGCTGTGAGGTCGACAATTAAGATATACAGTTTCCTGTTAGAGATGTGAGACATTATGGTGGTGTTTTTTGATGACATATATACAATTATTGCATTCTTTACTATAAAACTAAAAAGGGTGTCTAGAAGTTAACTTCATAAAATGAAAACCTAGTTAATATAATGTTCGTTAGTACTTACACTATAATGGATCTAAGAGAAATAACTCTGTATAGGTGAGGTTCTTTGGAGTTAACTTCTTATTTTTTAAACATTTTGTCTCAAGCAAAACGGGAGTACCACTAGCACGCAAGGGGTTACAGAGATTGGGAGCAAGAGTAAATAGGCGTGATAGAAGAAAGGATGAAGAGAAGAACGGGGTTTAGATCAAGGCATCTGATGATGTCGATTGACATTGCATTTAAATAACTGAAGATTATATCAATCTGGGAAGTAAGAAGAAGGGAGTTCCACATACCGGAAGTGCGAGACATGACGCTATTGGAATAGAAGAGATGGCTACATGTAACCGTTTCGATAGTGGAACTGAAACGCCAATCTAGTATCACGCTTAAATTCCTGCAGTTTGGAAACCAGCGAAATTAGCTCGTCGGAGCAGTTACCGTGAAAGTATTTGTAGAAAAGACAGGGCGAAGCGTCGGAAAGTCTGTGAGAAAGTGACTGTAGACGAGGTGCATATCTGTGTCTGGATTTTGTCGAGGACCTTGAGACGACCCTCGGGGGCTCCAGACCATATATGGCAGCAGTCTTTCATTCAAGGGCCAATGGTTGATTTATAGATTTGAAGGATGGACTCGACGAGAGAAAAATAAAACTTTCTGGCGCGACACAGCTACCAACTTTCCTTGCGGTAGATGAAGCTATTGATTCCATGTATGTGTTCTATCTCTGTTCACCGGGCAGAGTGAGATAAGGCAAGCGCAGAGAGGTGCTCTCGTGGAGTTGAGCATCAGACATTATAGTAGGAGTCGGAGAGGGTCCTCTATGGTGGGTAAATAAGTGCAGTTTTTTTTTTTTTTTTGAGGCATTAACGTTTACCAGCCATTTCTTGTCCCAACCAACCACAGGTTAGATTTGTCAGCAATACCAGATTTGCTATTGAGGCCAGAGTAAATATTGTGTTTTTTCCATAATATTAATGTGTTATAAACCCTGTTTCGCATTCCAATATTTTATGAGATACGAACTTGTTATTGAATTCAGGAAGAAAGTAAAGCTATTTCCAAACCTTCAGTTTCAATGTCAAGTGATGTTTTATTATTCCTTAATTTCTTAATCTCGCGGTTCGTTATTGTTTGTTTAGCGATGAACTTTGCAATGACTGGATGAATATTCGTCCATGTTCTATTTCTATGGACATTTGGAAGATAAGTGGAGTCATTGTTGCAATACGATTCAAAGTGTTTTTGAGACAAGGACATTTGTTTTAGCAAAAATTCACATCTTTAATTTTAAGAGCTTGTCTAATCAGATATAAAATAGGGGTTATAAAAAACATGATCAATGGTGCAAAAAAGGTTTCCTCTTTGGACGCATTGTACTATAAAGAATTAAACAAGAAAAACAAGCACTTAGCAGCAATAATAATGTCTCTAACCATGTTGTTGAAGAAATAATAATAATATCTGTTGTTTAGAAAAATATAAGCAACCATCTTATATATATATATATATATATATATATATATATATATATATATATATATATATATACACACACAAGTATCTAATCGGTGTGTAGGAAATTAAACAAAATGTTTATTTTTGTAGTGATTTTATAACATATTTATGTTATCAATTTTTTTCAAAAATAATTATATATATATATATATATATATATATATATATATATATATATATATATATATATATATATATATATATATATAATATTCCTTTGTTTTTTTTCGTTTAAGCTTGGACACAAAGTAAATGAAAACGGGAAGAAATCACCGACAAACCTTCTGTTTACTTGTAAACATGTTTTCTTGGAACCATCTTTTTTTTAATTATCTCGCAAATCGCGTCTGGACACACTATCTTTTTCATACAAAATAAGTTATTTGTTAAAGATCGTGTTGAGATACATCGATTTTACTGACCTCTCGTGACTAGGCCCAAAGATTTGTTTACTTTCACTAAAATAACCCCGCTAGCCACGACCAAAATTAAACACTCACTAGAAAATAACTTTTTTATTAGCTTATTGCTATAAAAACTCGAAATCAGGAGATGATAATTCTAATAATAATTTTTAAAAAAATATCATCGATTCCATTTAGTAAGGAAATCCCTATAATATCCTATTTTTCTTACGTCAAGCTTAATTTTTAATTTTGTAACATCGGATATATGATTGCAATTTTTTTATATTTTTATTTTTACAAAACAGAGCATTATATATATATACATATATATATATATATATATATATTAGTTTGAGTAAACCTTGTGCGTTTTTTTCTCCCGGACTGTGTATTCTAGAATGCTTAAATATAATTATATAAAAAGAAATGAACTAACCTACATTAAATA